CACAGCAACAACACAACAACAACAACAACAACAACAACAACACAACAACAACAACACACCAACAGCAGCAGCAACAACACAGCAACAACACAACAACAACAACAACAACACAACAACAACAACACACCAACAGCAGCAACAACAACACAGCAACAACACAGCAACAACACATTAGCAACACAGCAACAACACATCAGCAACAGCACAGCAACAACACAGCAACAACACAAAAACAGCACAGCAACAACACAGCAACAACACAGCAACAGCACATCAGCAACACAGCAACAACACATCAGCAACAGCACAGCAACAACACAGCAACAACACAAAACAGCACAGCAACAACACAGCAACAACACAGCAACAGCACAACAACAACACAGCAACAGCACAGCAACAACACAGTAACAGCACAGCAACAACACAANAACAACAACAACACAGCAACAGCACAGCAACAACACAACAACAACAACATAACAACAACAACACAACAACAACGCAACAACAACACCACAACAACACACCAACAGCAGCAACAACACAGCAATATCACAGCAACAACTCCACAACAACACAGCAACAACACAGCAATAACACAGCAACAACACAGCAACAACACAGCAACAACACAGCAACAACACAACAACAACACATCAGCAACACATCAGCAACACATTAACAACACATCAGCAACACAGCAACAACACATCAGCAACACAGCAACAGCACAGCAACAACACAACAACACAGCAACAACACAGCAACAACACATCAGCAACACATCAGCAACAACACATCAACAACACACAACAACAACAACAACACAGCAACAACACAAAAACAGCACAGCAACAACACAGCAACAACACAACAACAACACAACAACAACACAACAACAACACACCAACAGCAGCAACAACAACACAGCAACAACACAGCAACAACACAGCAACAACACACAACAACACAGCAACAACAACACAACAACAGCAGCAACAACACAGCAACAACACAACAACAACACAGCAACAACACAGCAACAACACAGCAACAACACAGCAACAACACAGCAACAACACATCAGCAACACAGCAACAACACAGCAACAACACAGCAACAACACATCAGCAACACAGCAACAACACAGCAACAACACAGCAACAACACAGCAACAACACAACAACAACACAGCAACAACACAACAACAACACAACAACAACACAGCAACAACCACAACAACACAGCAACAACACAACAACAACAACAACAACAACACAGCAAC